GGCCGCCTCCAAACAAACCTCAATCACTACGCCGGGGCACAGATTAATAGACAGATAGCCAAAGGCCCGGATGAAGGCGAGACCAGTATTTCTCACTGGTTTCAGCGCCATACCGTAGTAGTGGCCAAAGCAGTAATTACGTTCGCAAAGTAAAGTCGCATCGTTAATATGAGGGTAATAAATTTTCGAAGTCAAAAGTCGCATCGTTAATACGACGGTTCTCTTAAGGGGATCCTGAACTGACGGGCGAACTCCGATATGGGTTAGCGCCCTCATCTAAACGTAACTAAAAGGAATATTCAAACATAATATAACATAAAACGATTGCTCCTTAAGACGATCTTAAATATGAAGCAATTAAGGAACAATCGTTTTATGTTGGATATACTTGCAGTAGACTACGGAAAATATAAAACGTTGATTAAACCACCGACGAGATATCATTAAAGACCGGTGGTCTTATGGGATTTAGTGTGACTGGAAAAAAGAACTCGCTACGCGTTATTTTAGTTCATCCAGTTATTGTTTTATTATCAAACATGTAAAGATCTTTTATATAACTGCCTCAAGAACAACAAAATCAACATTTTATCGTAAATTTACTGTTTTATTATCGACAATGCAAAGATTTACTTATTTACAGTACCGCGTGGCGAGTTTTTTTCCAGTAATATGCTAAATCCTGTAAAGGTGCAAACCCATGGCAGCGGAAAAGCGTAACGCGGAACAAGAGCGGACCAATCGTGAGCGTAGCGAAAACTGTAGAACGCTCGCGATTGGTCATGCTCTCGTTCGCGTTATGCTATTCCGCTGCATGAGTTCGCACCCTAAGACCATCGGTCTCTAATAATATCTCGTCGGTGTTTTCGATAATAAAATAATAACTGGATGAAATAAAATAACCGTATGAATTAAATAATTCGCGTAATTATCTTCGATCTAATCAAACGGCCGGTAATGTCAACATTCTTCAATTACCTCCGGGCCCACCGGGCCCACTTGATGGTCACAAAAGTTTACCCAGGGCTGACGGTCTTTAATAATATCTGGTCGGTGCCAGGGCTGACGGTCTTTAATAGTATCTCGTCGGTGGCGTCGTCTTTTCATTTGTGTCGGTCAACAAATATTTCCAGTAATCCATCCCAGATCTGCCGCCATGGCGAGCTTATTGAACTTGTGCGAGCGTTATTTCGGCACCCATAATTTTTATGACGCATTGAAGATACCAAAAAGCGCGGACGACAAGCAGGGTAAGCAAACGTTCGTCCTAATCTCTATAGATCTGCATTTTTTCTCTCACTTTTTATAATAACAATGTTCGTTATTTCTCGTCTCATCAGTGAAGAAGGCTTATTACAAACAAGCGTTACTCGTACATCCGGATCGGGTCGAGGATAATATCAAGGCCGAAGCAACGGAGAAGTTCAAAATCCTTGCTGGAATATATTCCGTTCTCAGCGATAATGAAAGACGCAAAGTTTACGACAAATCCATACAATACGAGAAAAGCGAAGACATCGTCTTGCGCAAATTGATCGAGTATATTTCCTTACTTGAAAAAATAATAACTGTCAAAAATATCAATGGGAGAGAGAAGATGAGATCGTTTGTACCAGTTTCTTTGTGTTCCCTTCTCAGAACGAGAAGGGATTATGACGAATCCAGACAAAAGGAAATCATCATACGCAGATTGACAGACTATTTGTTATTTTTACTCGAAGAAATATCAACTGTCAAAGATATCAATAATTGCGAGAAGCGGTGATTGTTTTTATTAGCTCTCTTTTGTGTCTCCTCTTAAGGAGAAAGGAGTACGAGAAGGAAGTTGAAGTCAGAATGCACAAATTAACCATCGACTATTTGATATCCTTACTTGAAGAAATGTCAACTGTCGAAAATAGTACTTACAAGAAGCTGAAATTGTTTTCAGTTTCTTTGTGTCTGTTTCTCTTAAAGAGAAAGGATTCATATTAACAAGATAGCAACTCTAGAAGATCTATAAAATAATATACACGCTTGTAGAAGTTGCAATGTCTTGCTTTCTCAACTGCATATAGAAATAAGGGTATTTTAGCTTAATACTTTAGCACTATTTGGAGAGAAAAAGAGAGAAAAGAAAAATATTAAAACCGATATAATTCTCTTAAATTAACATACCCCTATTCCTCAGAAATTAGGCTTGATCAGAGTTGATATGAACTTGATTCGATTAATTAGTTTATTCACGTTAAAAGCTCACAATTTGTATATTCGCTTATTTTTATGTTATATTGGCTTACATTGACATTTCTCGAAGTTCGAAAATTTTCTTGCTCTGCAACTTTCTTTGGTGAATTACATAATTTAAACAGCGGAATCTATCTCTTTGGGACAATATTTTATTTTGCATGTTTTTCTGGATCTCTAAATCTGTTTTATTTTTGTTATCTCGACAATATGATATTTACCATATTTCCATAGTTTGAGTATGTCAATTTCAGGGACCAATTTCTCAAACCTTCATTTTCGTTTATTTTTAAAAAAGGTCATTCATATAAAAGTTTGTAATAGTAATATCAAAACTGTAATATAATTGTAATAAATATAATTTGAATAATATTTAATAAATAAATATATGGATAAAAAGCCAATGTGAATAAGGGCCAATTTCACCAAGTCCGGTTAGATTAACCGACGGTTAAAATTAGCAGGGT